GTCGGAAATTTCCATCTAGACTTTTTTTATATTCGGATGATTTTTTTTTATTGAGATACCATTATTTTAACTTTTATGGTCCTTTATTTAACAACAATAAAAGTTGGTAATTATTTCACTCACTGTTCATTCTGGGCTTTGAATTTGGGACAGAAAGAAGGATAAATATACTTTTATAATTATAACAATAACCAAATGACGTTATAAATTTTTTTATGTGATTACGAATGTCAAAGCAACTGTTGGTTGTCGGCTTCCTGATGAAAAGCTGTAACAGTTACCATCATAGACATGTATAAAACAATGGATACTAATTAACATCACAGAAAAATACTATGTCAGCTATAGCTTCCATCATTCATTGCTACAATGCTTTTTGTGTAGATTGGGTAAAGCATATGATGAGATAAGGCACACGAAGGCTGAGCTCGCTAGGTGATTTTACTCGACAAATTTAATGACGCCATTTACACGTTTTACGTCTTTGTTGGCTGTTAAATGAAGACGAATGTTGAGGCAGTCGCTGCCGCTACAATTTAGAATATAAACTGAACAACTCGGCAAACGTGATCATTGTTTGTGAATTGCTCAGACATCTCTCTGATATGTACCCGAAAAACTGACACTCGGCGAGTCGTCGATGAGTGTTGGTCACAAATGATAAAAACATATAAAAAGGCCCAGCGTACTTTTGTCGAACGTGTTCGGCCAACGTGTACTGGAATTTAAAGACTTATTTACTCTAAAGGAGACAACGACGTTGACTTAAACGGTGGTGTAGGAACTAATAGGTATAGAATACTAATCTGTAATATAAATGCCTGCAAACTATGCCACCTGTGAAAATATTTGTCTTATTTTAAATTCACGATCGAAACTTTACTGTCGATGTTTCAACATGGGTTGCATTACGTCATGGCAGGGCATAGGCAGGACCTCAGTCCTGAATTTGAAATATGTGTAAACAACGCAAAATTTGAAAATTGTCTAATATTTCGTCGTCCAAAACATTTTATATCCATTGTCCAATTACATATAAAATCTGTTCATACTTGTAAAATATTCTCGTGTGATTTAACACGAAACGTGGTGTGGTCTCACGGCTCCCGGCGGGTTGTTTTTGCAGATAAAAATATGCGCAACTGGTAACAATTGATAGGGGAGGTGTGTGAGGGGTGCACTAGTTCAAATCTCGTGTTGAGAACCCTTTGCGACCCCACTTTAGTTTATCCCTACTTCGAAAACGCTCCTAGTTGTTATTTCTCTGAGGTAACCATTGGTCCTATTTTCGTCAAATTGTAAATTAAGGGTCAGTATTATTTTATATAGCAGATATTTTTATATTTCTACGGGGTTTAGGTGAGTTAGGTGCACTGACTCGAAAATTAGTATGTATATTTGGTCACGGTTTGTTTGTTTTTATAGTTTAGGGTCAAGAAAGTGAATATTTCGTGGTTATTGGTATTATTTAACAGTTAGACGAGAAACAAAAATATTTAGGACTAAAATAGATAGGAGAGATCAGGAATACCTGATATCTGATAGATCAGGAATAAAACACATAGGTACATATGTTATGTTTGGGTTTAATTTTCGATCGGACTAATGAATCAAAACACGTATTATATTTTCTCGAATCTTTTTGGATATTAAAAAATTAAAGTAGTTTTCACTATTTTAAATAATTAGAATTTACTTACTTGCTAGAATAATATATATTTTGCAGATGACGTATCAGAATAAAATTGCAAACATTAAAGAAATTAGAATCTTATGGAGACTCTTTTACCTTTTTTTCGTACGTATTCGTTTTTTAGGTCTATATGGGAAAATATCTCTTCCTTTTTATATTTGTATAACTAATTCTAAACATTATAACATCAAACATCATATTCTACTATTAAAATTAACTTCCCTTAATACTCATTAGATTTGATATCTTAACATCGTCAACACTTTTTATAATCTATTATGCCGATTTAAAACGTCTTCTACTGAATATTATTGCGTAAAATACACTACCAATCGAGGTCCTGGCTGTTCCCATTTCTCTCGCTCCATAGCTACGCAATTTGCTACGGCAAGCGCGACCCATTGTGAGCCGAAGTTCGTATTGCCTACTACCATGGAAGTTACGTATATATACACGACCTTGACTTACAGTAGGTAACTGCCGCCGGAATAATAACAATGAGCGCGTACTACCTACCTATATTACTTTAGGGACTTTCTAAGACAAACTTATTTAAATAACGTATTGCTACCATTTGTGAATGTATCCGAAGAATAATAAACATCTATTATTTATATTATTAGTAATAATTAATATGTACACATTAATTTGGTTTTACGAATGCAGAAACAATTTACAATACCCATATACAAACTGTGAGATAGATATTCAAATAGCTACCATATGTTTCCAAATGTCAAAGCCCTTATAAACCTCAGAGATCTGCAAACACAGGCGATGAATCGCGTTACTGTAGGCGAAAGCTCGCCTGGCTGCTGTCTGTACCCGAATCGATAAAATTTGGGTCTGCGCCCCCGTACGTTGCCATGGTTACGCGCCCCGAGTCCCCACCCGCCACCACCCCGCCGCATCTCTGAGAACACCGATGTTGACTTAGACGGATAGGGTAAGAGGCTTATTAATGGTTTTATGTTACTTTACCGTCACCTATAAAACGAGCTTTATTTAAAATTATTTGAATTATTTTTTAAATACGCCATTTTGAATATGAATGGTAGGTAATTACAAAAAGAATAAAATCGAGAACAAAGCTTTGTTAATCAAACAACGATAAAATAGATTTTTTTGATGTTGAAGGTCGACTGAAACTGGGAAACGAGGGTCTGCAAATAATGGAACGATTTCGCGCTTCGAGCGCCGCCGCCGCCATCTTGCCAGACCGCGTGACGCCATTTCAAATTGTGAACGTTTGTTCTGGTTCGTTCATTGTCACGGCGGTAAGTTCATCAACAATCACAACCGTAATAGTATCCAAAGTAGATTTCCTTTTGTGTGCAGTTACTACATTTTAGACGTAGTATTCATATAGTTGTTATAGTAAGTAAGTGTATTAAATTCACGTAAACGTAGGATGACGTACTAAGACTTCTAATTTTTCAACTTTAAAATTTGATAAGCTCTTTGTTCCGAACTTGGAGATTAATATTTTTATATGCGTAATGTAGACTATGTCACATCTCTAGGGGCATTCGAAGCACTCGGTATTATAGAGTGGGTGCTGGCTCCCGGGAGTTTATCCAGGGAGGGGTGCAAACTTTGCCCTATCAGTAAACTGTTTGCCCGGCGTAAGCTTAAACATTTCTTTGCGGTTCGAAATTACTTAGCGATGAATAAGTAAATAATGCATATCGAATAAAATAGATTTTTTGTTTTATATTCTCAATACTCCTGACTAAGCTTTATGAATTTTAACTCAAAGACGGACACGACGTGGAAAAACGGAAGCTCGAGATAAATTCTTATTAATATTCCTGAAGCACAGTTTTAGTTCTTTTGTCTTGCATGGCGAGCAGGCAATAAAGAGGTAGACGCTTGGAAATGTGCTGCATTTATACAGGTTTTAGACGGTGCCTGCCGCCCTCGTGCTTTATTTTGCTCGCTCGACGCTCCTTTGCCAGGCGCTCTTATTGCTTTGAGCTAACACTAACAAGGTTTTTAATTATTTTCTTTTATGCCACTTTCAGGCGTAACACACGGCGCTTTGTTATTTTAGATCTCTAAAGCAATATACGACAGTTTGAATGCTATTTCGTAGAAAGTATTAATACCTAAGCAATTTTTAGTTTTTGTGTAACTAAACTAACACAGAGAGATAAGGTATTGGAGCATAGTACTATGGAAGAATTTAATTAAACATTGATTTGAAGTTAAGTAAATTTAAGTATAGTAATTTTTTAATCACTCGATAATAATCGGAATAGGATTTTTATATTTTAATAAGGATTCTATATAAGGTTTTAATTTATTGTTTATATAAAAAAATATACGTAAAACATGATAAGCGGTACGACGCAGCAAGGAGCATGAATCTTATTGGTGATTTATCGAGGTTTGTCCCTCGCCGAGGACTGCAGGGCTGGCTGGCTGATACGTACGTGAATTACGATGATGGACGTCGCTTTATGGGATATTGGTAGCCTGCTAGTTCTGACGTAGAAATATTCCTTTATTTATATGATATATTGGTACGTGTAGGCTTACATCAGTTTGAACTTATTTATTACACGTTAACTATAAAAACCTGCAATGATAATATAATTACGATCATATTAATATAAAATAGAATTTGCAAAAAATTAGAGACTTTTATAAAATGCAGTAAAAGCAGAAATTAGGTACATATTAATATGTTTATTCAAATTGAAGTATTGCTATGTACTTTAATACTCGTATACGATTTACATTTAATGTTTAGCATGGAATATATTTATTTGTAGAATTTTGTGAAATAGACAACAAACTCCATAATCTTTATTATATTAGTTGTTATTTGTATACTGCTGAACATAGGGCTTCCCCATAGATTATGCTGTGTGAACTGCCATAAGGAATGGGGCCGTTCTTTATGGCAGTTTACAATTGTGGGGATTTGTCTGGGAATAAATTTCATTCAAATGTGTTCAAAACAAATATAAAGACATGTTTATGTACTTATACAACAGTATCGTTTCATTTATTAATTGTCTTACTTTTTCCTTATATTGTATATTGCAAATAATTTATATTCATTAAATTAATTAATTTAAACATTTTTAAAAACTTTTGCATTCATAATATCAATAGAGTTATGTCTTCTTGCTTAAAAATTGTGATAAGACAAAATACTACCATACTTTGAGGCTAAATTAAATCTGGTAAAAGGAAAGGCAAGTAAGCAATATTTATTTTCTACACGTTTTACCACATTTAGCACAGTTTCGTGCGATTTCCTTTCATAACCAATTTCCTCGTTTTCTTTGTATTTACAGCGCTGTCACCTGTATTCCCACATAATTTGTTTTGAGGCGAAAAAAATGTTTACGGAGGTAAGTGTCGAAGGGAATACATATTTTCTTTGGAAATTGATCAAATGAGGCCGAATGTGTGTGTCGACATTTTCACACATCGCTAAACAAATACCGTTCTAATGGCTTATGTCGTAAAGATGTTTCATTGAATGAAGCTGTTTACGTTAACGTTTGCTTGTATTTTTGTTACTTTAGGTACTACATTTATCTGCTATGATTTTTTTTTAAAGAATAAGTATGTTTATAGCATAATCTAATACAATTGCTATTTTATACCATAAATTCCAAAGATCTACAATCCGAAATAAGAATGAGAAGTTTGACTACCAATAAAAATTGCAGTTAATATAAATTTTCGGTAACGCCAGGGATTATAAATTCATTAATTTAATTAATGAATTTAAAATTAATTAATGCGATAGACGGCAAAAGGATCGCCCTCTGCAACATTGGATTCAAATAGTATTAATATTCGGTAATGTAGTGCTAGCAAATTGTGCATAACGATAAATTTCTTTGACTATACCTTCAGAGATTACAGATTTGATTATAATTTAAATTTAAGAACTATTTATTTTAACTAACTTCAAAGATATATGTTAGGGTGGTATATAGGTCTCAATGTGTTACATACCGAAAGTGAACCAATTTAAATAAGGGTTAATTTTGGGATAACCCTACATGTAGCTAATATTAATACATGCTTTTTTTTTTTTAAATTATCTATTAAATTATTTTAATCAATACTTGCAAGTATGCCTACTTACCGAACAGTTTAATAAGAAAAATCGCCCGTCATCATACACCACAATACGGGCATGAATCTTAGGGAAGATTTATTACGCGCCCGGCGACCTCGCTAGATTACGGTGAAATGGGTATCTGCCTGACAAAGCTTCCGAAAAACGCTCCCTTATTCAGATACCCCTTTACGTTACCTTTTATTTGAAAGATCGGTTTACAACCAGAAGGATGTCCCGATACTAAGATCATATAATATTATTGAAGTCAAGTCATTCTTGATGATAATTTTTTTTGCATAGTACTAGAAATGGCAAATGAGCTGATTGCCCATTTGATACAAAGCGAAAACCGTTGCTTAAAGACATACATAGCGTCATGACTTGGATTGGAGATAAAATTTGGAAAAAGTCAAAGGCTAAAAGTTTTTTTTTTCAAAATAATCTAATGAACATGTGTTGTAACACCTCTGCTAGTGAAAAAAGTCTTTTCTTTAAATATCTAATAAATTTTTTTTCTGCTTTTGGCTTCGACTTCAATGAGTTGCCATTAGCCAAACCTTAGATTATATTAAAAACAATTGTTCTGTGGTAACAATACAATTGAAAATTCTAGAAAAGGTTTTACTTAGCATCAACTAACTACCGTTTCACTCTGATGATGTTAAGTTGAAAAAGAATGCCACATCACAGATAATGTAATACTGGTGGTTTTCATATTATACCTTAAGGTAATAACAGTATCACTTTTTAAATCTGTCTGTAGATTATGTTCACTCACAATAAATCTTTTTCAGTAAAAGTAGACGTGTAGCGCTGGCAAGAAAATATTCAATCAAGTTTATAGCTTCAATTCTTCTCGGCTCAGTACCAAGCGGTGTTTTATCTCGACCAACGGCTTCAAGGCTCATTTGAGCGGCTGTAATGGGCTTGGATACGTTCGGTAAGCGACTTCAGCAGCGTTGCCAGATTGGGTACTTATTGTTTTCACAATTTTAGGTAAAAAAAATTGTGTCGGGGAAATTGAAGAAAAAATAAATTGTTAGAGAAATATTTGTGAACAAAAAAAGGATATGGGGAAAGTTTGGTAATTTTCTGATAGTTTTGGTATTAATAAATCGTATATAGATGCATAGAGAATACCAATACAGAGAGTAATGAGACCGTAATTTTTTTTAACAGTCGGTTTTTGGTAAAATGTAATTAAAACTAATACAAGCTTGTGATGAAATTCTTATCAATTTAGAGAAAAAAGATTGAAATTTGGGTAGAAATAAATAATCATATCTAGCAACACTGGACTTTGGTCGAAATATCCTGTAGTCTTGGATAAGTCGCGTTACCGACATGTTATTTCGTTTTTTCGGAGTTGTTTTTCCTCTAATATCCCAGTTTGCAGTGGACCTAATCTTTATATTACTGTGGCGGGAAAATTGATGTTTAACGATCCGCATTTATGCCTCTTACTTACATTATGGTCTCTATACGTAACCAAAAACTTAAAATTGTATAAATTATATATATATTATATTCTTTTTTTATTAAAGATTATTTATATGTATTAGAATCGAGACGGTTACCCTTGGGAGTTTTGTTATTTACAAACAATTATACTTATTTTATGTTTATTAGGTAACTTTATGTAACTATAATTATGTATACTTTAATATAACTGTAAAATAAATCTCTATTGTAGATAATATAGATTGTTCGAAATACCTACACGTTAATTGCAGACAATTGATATAACATAGTATATTGATACTTGATATGATTATTGTAATGAGCGTTAATGACCTCATAACCATATAGACTATATATATATATATACATATATATATATATATATATATATATATCTAGACTATAATATTGATGGGTAGCAGTGTCCTCTTAAAACATCACCAAAGCCTAACTGCGGTTGGCAACGCGCCTTCCAAGTGTGGCAACTATTGACAAAACTCCTTTTATGGCCTCCCGCCTATGTCTAGTAGTGGACACATAATAAATATAATATTGTTATTTCTCTCTCAACTCTCACTCAGTATACATATATAATTTTATGTTTAAATTTAATTACATTTTATTAGTAGTTGCACCTGAATTTAGAGTTGATTTATCATCAAAATTATTAGCCCATTTTATATTAGTCTTAATCTTCGTTTAAGTCGCTTATTTTTTGCTAGATAAGAAATATATATTTATGTATCATACTAGCTGTATTCCGCGGCTTCGCCCGCGTGATACAGCTAGTATGATAGATAAAGTATTCTGAGTATTAAGTTAAGACATAACCTATCCGTGTACCAAGTTTTATTTATATTTATTCAGTAGTTTTTGTTTGAAAGATTAACCAACATCCATCCATCCTTTAATCGTTGCAAACTTTCGCATTTTATTTATTAATAGGATTAAAAATTAATTTTAACTTTCATAATATTAGTAAAGGTTATTATTTGGCTTGCGGGTGTTGTCCTTCAGCAGGACAAAGGAATATCATTATCAGTATGAGAAAAAGAAGGTCCTTAGACTTTGACGATATATGGCGTGGTTGTAATAATATATTGGGGAGAAAGGGATTGTCTTTCACATTTTTCAGCTATCATGGGATGAATTCATCATGATGGAAAATCATTATTTTCATCTATAAGAAAAAGAAGGTCCTTTTTCAGAAAAAAAAATTATACTTTGATGATATATGATATTTATGTTAAATTTTTGCGTGATTATTTATTTTTATATAAGAAAATGATGTCGATAGTTAATATTTTTATTATGATGTTGATAGTGTACTTTTTCCATGTAGATACATATTAGTTAATAGCCCCATTCCTAGTAATGTACCCAATCAGATAAATCTCCACGCGTTTCTTACTGGAAAATAACGTTGTTAATTCTTGTGGAATTTGTGGAAATCAACAGGCCAGTTAGAACTGCTTTCATCTTCGCCTATCATCTCTTGACGACACTAGTGCTCCGTCAGTATATATCAATAGCACAGACGGGGTTACCATTCCATTTTCAGCCGTGAAAACAGCCGTAATTAATCGGAGAGACGTCAGCAGGCTTGCTCCCTACTGGGTCCTTATGAAATGTTAACATGTCGACGTCACTACAACAGCAACAGTTGACGAATGCTTCTGACACATGTCACTAGGGACCATTAGGGTCTGTAGTCGTGAGCATATATATATTTTTCTAAGAATATAATACTAGCTTTATTAAAATTATCTCTATTACTCTTCTAGGTATCTTCGTAGGTTCGAAATTTAAAAATATCATATAGTACGACATTTGACATGATTATAGTTTTTATTGATTACGTAGGTCCCGGGAATTGCTAGAGCAGCTGGCTCGTAGCAACGAAATATAAATAGGTGTTCTCTGAACATCCCTAGTCAAATATTAACTCAATATAGAGCATGCACGCGAGTGGGGAGCGCGGCTCGGTGCCCGGATGTAACCATTGGCAACCGTGCGCCGGCCCTGACGTTTGCAACTAGCTGCTGTAGCAGCCTGTAGTGCCGGTCGCCCCCAGCGACCCATTTTCACTATTAATAGAACGTGAATACGGCCCGAAATTGCATGTTGAACATTTATTTGTAGGTGAATTGCATCACCTCCACTGCCACCTGATTCACCCGATTCCGGGAGGCTGCCTGTGTTCCGATCTCTTTTGCTTTGTCGTAACAATGTTGACTGCACACGACAGCGTTGATGTACAGTAATTACTTAGGAAGTTGAAGACTCAATACATACAATATCAGTTCTACGTATCTCGTATCGTACGTATACATCCTTTATCAATTATCCAAGATACTATCGATTTCTATTGAATTCTTATTTTATTGTTCGTACAATGTTACGTGTCATTAGATCAAGTAATACTTCTACGAAATATTACCACAATTTCTTTAGCCTGTATTATTAGATAGTTACATTACATGTATGTAGTCTGCAAGTACTAGATTGATGGTTAAAATAATTGAAATTAAAAAGGCGTGTGTTATTAAATGTGATGGGTGCTTAAGTTGTTATTATTAAGGAATATATCTACATAATTAATATTTTGGATTATTTTTAATACATCCGGAGTGAGAGAAGGATATATAATCTATTCTTATCATTTTGGTCAGACGGCTAGAAATAGGATTTTAGTTCAAGTTTTCCTCTCTTGCCTATTTCATTTATTTAATTTATGTCTATTTAATTTATTTTTTAATATACATCACGTATAGATAAATATGATACATAAATACATACAGTAGGTAAACTTGTAAATAAATGTCTTCAAGTCAATCTTGCGAGTACTTAAAACAAGACGTTGTGATGAGCTTTACTTTTTTTGTTCGTCTTTTATAACATCGTGGAAATAAAAAGAGTGACAAGACATTTTATTCATCTCCATCACTACACAGATAAATCTTTTATATATACGCTGGCGGGGCACCAGTAAGAGATGATGCGTGAGGATGAAAGTAGGTAGGTAGCAGGCAAGTTATCCCGTATTATATGTGTTGTCGTAACCAATCAAGAATTAACTGTGATAGTTTCCAGAGAGAGACTGGGGGAGGTTGACTTAATATAGTTTATTAGTTAGCAACGGGGCTTTTAGATCTCATTTCTAATATTTTTTCCAAATTGATAAGTCATTATAAAGACTGTACTGTAGTTGTAGATGAAATTTACATCTACAGGTGTAAACTAGCAACCAATTATACAAGATCGTGTGTAGTAAACTACAACCAATTACATTGTTCTTGGTTAAAGTTCTAACTTTATATATAATTAAAATACTGGTAACACTACTTTCTGATGACTTCAATGTTATATTTTATTATTTCATTTCAATTTTTCAATTTCAAAAGTTGAAAATAATAATTAATAAATTTTTGAAATTATTTAATTTATACTTTCTTATTAGAGTTTCCAAAATATTATACTTTCCAATAGTAATAATAATAATAATATAACTACCGAAAACGCATTCTGAAGGATGGCACTGAGGACATTTGTCGGGCATGTCGTCATTCTGGAGAGTCACTTAGTTATGTGCTTTCGGGTTGTTCAGTTTTTGGGAACAGCGAGTGCTTGCACAGACACAACCAAGTACCCAAAATACTCCATCAAGAGTTAGCTCTCAAGTATGGCCTCGTGGATGAGAGATTGCCGTACTATATGTACGAATATGAACCTCAGCCGGTCCTCGAAAGCAACGTCATCAGTCTCTACTGGGATCGATCTATCATCGCGGACAGGATAGTTCTTGCGATCAAATTTGATTGTGGTAAACGGATCTCGAGGGTATTTTTGGTGAATGTCACCATACCGCATGACGAAAATCTCGTGACAACTGAAATTGGGATGAAGAGAAAATATTTCGATTTGGCTCGCAAGGTGATTGAAATATAGAAGATAATATTATATCTACCGGAATCATTCCAAACGTATTGTTGATAAACGGTTTTATCTCGACCAGTCTGGAACAATACCTCACTCGGTTCGGATTCCAGGGTAATTAATTTCCGGGAAAGATGCAGAAAGTGTTCCTATTAATATGTAATATTCTTGAAAATTTCATAGGTATAAAATGTGGGTTTCACTGAACTTAGATATGCTTAGGAAAAGAATTTGTCTGCTGAACAAAGGCACCTAGGTGGTAAGCTTATTATAAATGTATTCGGGGTGAAATATGGCATATAGGATTACAATGGAAAGGGTACAACACGGATTCATGAGATATAAATGAGATATTTGCATGCGGTACCTTTTGTAAAAGTCAAGTGTTCAACCTCGTGATTTTAATTTCAAATTTTTATATTATTTTCTAATTTTGTATCTCTTAAATATCATGGAATCAATTATTGAATTCGACTTATAATTGCTACTTATATAAGGATGGCGTCCCCTGATGACAAAAGCGTTTAGATCGCCTATTAGCTCTATACATTTTTAATCAATCCAATGAATTTGAAGAATCAGATGTTACGTTATTTCAAATTTCGCAGTGTAGTCTATGGAATTTGAAATAATGGAATGGAAGGAACGGCTCGACCCTCTTAAGTTATAGATAATATTTTATTATTATGGCAAAAAAACATTAATTACTTAGGAAATCTCATTGCTATGTCATCTGTCATTATACATCATAGCATGGTACATTCACTATATTCCACGAAATAAATTGATTATGAGATTTTTTTTTTTATTTCAAGTATAAGCATTAAATACAAACTTAATTGTATTTAATACTAATAGTTAAATAAAATACAAAATTAAATATAAAAACAATGTAAATGACTTTTAAAATTTTTATCTCAGTTTTATGGTTCACTCAAGTGTAACTATTGTTATAATTATTAGATTGACTTTAACGCCAAAAATGAAATTTTTTTTGCGTTATGTAATTATTTGAGTTAAGGTACTCTGTCGTCTGTCTACATCTATCAGTATATCTGATTTTTTATGGAGTATACATACCCTACTTTCCCTTTAAAGTTGTGTAAAGTACTTTTAGAAGGGAAACTTAGGTATACTTCACAGATGTTGGTGGAGATGGACGAGTATTTTATGGCCTATAATATCTCATGTCGGGACGCGACATGATTCTATCCAACTATAACGGACAAGCCTCCGGCACTACGAAATGAATTATGGGACAATACCAACTGTAGGTAGTGTGGACTATCCTTATTATTATCCTAGATTATTATGTATATGTCATTAGATGGGATGTAAATAATATGAGCACTAAATGTTGTTAAAGCAGGATTGTTGCTGTTATATTTGTAGATTGTACCTGTATAGAGACTTCAAAAAACCAAAATTTCTGATATATGAAAACTATGATGGTGATCCTGCCTGCATACGTTTACGTTGGCAGCGTGCCGGTGAAGGATGATGGGTGAGAATAAAATCAGGTCAGTTTTCCTTGTCTCGTGTTACTTTTGTAGTTACATTGTATTTTCTGTTCAACCATATTACAGACACTTAAACTGGCCATAAGATTTATTTTTGATAGCCTTTAATTTAGCGTTTTTTTAATGCAACTTAGCATGGCAAATACGTTGACGGCCCACCAGATGGAAAATGAGAACTAACGGTTATCACTTAATATGTATACACTATATATGCATACTATATCGATTGACATGAATGGACATAATAGAGACCGCCATGCGATTGAGTCGAGTGTATAAAAAATAAAAAAAATTACAACAAGTATTTTATATATATTTTTTTATTCATTGTTATTTCAATAAAATGACATGTCAAGATTATTTTTTAACTGTATCAACGTTTAAAAATAACAGATATGTATCTATTAAGATTAAAATTGTCTATTATTTTTAAATTTTCCTTTCAAGAATTAAACGTTGTTGCCTGAAAGTTATTACATATTTTTCTGTTTAATAAGTTTACCTAAGTAGGCGACCATTATTTTAAACTTCGCTTGGCTGTTTGCCGAGAAAAACAATTGCTACGTACAGTAAGAACTTTGTAACAAAGCTTAAACATTATATAAAATGGAGTTTTGGTGGGATTTAAAATCTTTATTGTAAATTGCTTATTTTTACCTAATTTCCAAACAAAAGAGGGTATTGTACTTTGAATGTTTGTGTAATATACAAATCGAAATTGAACGAAATCAAAGTCGTTAGTTATGTATTAAATTAAGAACTTACCCACTTATATCTAAAGAATATATTAGGACAGAAGCGAAAATGAAAAAAAGAATTAGTCTCTCATGCGAATGTAAGACGGCACGTTAGGCTGTTATTCATAAAATATTCTAGTGTTATAAATTCGTTTTTGAACCCATAGTTTTTGGTGAAAATATTAATTTTCGTTGATAGAGTAGTTTTTTTTTTATTTTTGACGAAAAGCTTAGTATAAACGACTTAATTAAAGTCATGTCTTATTTATTTTAATTATTACTAAATAAGGCTAGTGCAAGGGGACGAACTTAAATTAATTAATTTTTTATATTCATAAAAATAATTAATTATTTTTTACAAGTTTTTATCTAACCTTCTTTCATATGTAAGTCAATATATTTTTCATTAAAAGAATACTACATACAAAAATACTACACAAAATACTTTAGTAAACAAAAATAAACAGGTACGATTGATTTTTTTATACCCTGTCGATTCGATGCGATGTTGAGTAAGCTTTCAAGTCTTTGAATACAGTATTAATAAAACGAATACTCAATTATGTGCAATTCCCTTTCCTCTATATAGATAGTACCCGTGATGCGAATAGACGAATAGTACATTTTCCAATGTCCCATGGGCATGCCGCTTCACTTAGTAGATAGAAGCGTAGCATGGCGTAGGCAAGAACTGACGCCTCGGCCTCGGCGTTGAATTAAAAATATAAACAGTTTCATTACTAAATAAGGCTTTAGACGCAAGGGGACGAACTGTAAATTAATTGGAATCGTTTTTATATTCACTCAAAAATAATGAAAAACTAGGAATACGAGCGCATCTAACAGATTAATATTTTTACAAGTTTTTATCTAACCTTCTTTCATATGTAAGTCACTAGTTGATAGTCGGTTGAGTTCATATTTTGCAAACTTATGTAACTTTGAGCTGGACTGATGATTAAGGTGAAAGATAGCCGTAGAAATTTCTGAACTCATGACAACTGTTATGGTTAGCCTACTTTGACTTATCTTAATGAAGACTGAAGAATGGCCGTTCATGACCGATCCATTTCTTTTCTTTGTTCTATTTTATAATATTTAAATCTTTTATTGTAACCATAGGTTTTAGAGCGTTCATAACTTTAGCTTATCGAAGTGTGGCTACGTCGCAATTATCTGAAGTATCAAAAATAATTTAATAATTTTTACTGATTATATAAAAAGAGCTCTGTTAGCGAACTAAAACGTCAATTATAGTATATGTTGCAGATTAATTTATTACTAAAAACTTTTCACCTACTTCATATTTGGCTACGGAATCTTTCAATTACATTTTTGCCATCAAAAACCCAATTTTCAGTAACAGGTTCAGAATCAGAATATTATCGCTTGTTACCGCTAATATCCGCTAGGAGATAACTTTTTAAATAATCAGTCAGAAATACTGAAAGGTTTTAAATTGTTTTTAAAAATTGACAGATATTTGCGACGTTGCCACACTGCGGTAATTTAAAGTTATGAATGCTCTTAAACACAAAAAACAGGATCAGATATTAATATAAAACATTAATCTTAAAAACGTTCTGAGTATTATGTAAAAGCTAGTGAACAATTAATCTAACTCTTTGTCAGGCGAGTGGGTCGCGACAGGTTAACATTAGCTCGCGTCAACCCTATTCTCTCAGCGACAGCTACGGAATGAGAGCACGAAACATACATAATAAGAATATGTAGGATAAGTACTTACCTAGATTTCTCAGGTTATCGCATTAAATTTTACTGTATTTTTACTCGTAACTTTATATTGTGTACCTGATTAATATTTTACCTATTTCGGTTACACTATTTTAACGTACAAAGGTTACTTGTTTAGAAAGAGAATGCGTAGTTGATATTCTTAATCTATGTTTTATTTTTTAATCTCGCTTAGCTTTTTATCACCATGATGTTTGTGGTGGTTTAGAAGTAAGATGGGTTTAATGGCTTGTTGATTCATTTAGAGAGATTGTTTTCTTAATCTATGTTTACTTATTATAATGTGAGGTGTGTGTAAATAAGAGGGCGCACCTGAGTTATGGTAGGTGGCGGTCCTGCTAAGACTCAGTACTTGAGTCTTAGTAGGGCTGCAGTTATTATCCTTAATCTTTTATTAATTTTATATTAATATCTACTCAGTACTTTCAAATTGCTACTATAAAATTAAAAAATATACTTTGTAGTTCTTAATCTAAGTAATAAATAGTCTTAAATGAAAAAAAAGACTACATTCAGATTAATCTGAGACATAAAGAGTCCTTAATCTGAAGTATGAAGGTTTTGTTTTTTCTTATTCATGTTCTTCTGAGATTGTTTTGCAGTATCACATGGGACGAAGTGATAGCTTTCTGTAACACTTTCTTGTATAGGTAACAATTTGTAACCATCAAATATAAGCACCAAATGTACGTGTCAGATTAGTTTTGATGTTTTTCAACAGTAAAGTTTACAATACGAATGAGTATAAAAGCGTACAAACAAATAACAGGGTAATGGCTACTATAAAAGGATAGCAACTAGGGTAACATAAAAGGTAATGTTTTCCTGTCGCCCGTGGTAAAATATGTAGAACATTCTACAAATTTTTAGTTTTATGAGTATGTTTTTGATAAAAATGCGCGCTGGCGTGTCATGCAGGATGAATCTCTTACGACATTGTATTTGTTGGAAATTAACGTTAAATTTTTTTACTACTAATAAACTAACAGGCGGAATATCCGGATGGAAAATAGTAACTATAGAGTAAGTATATTGCATATTTTACAAAAAAATCAATCTCCTATGCAAAGTTTCAAAAATTGATCACTTTTTTTTATGTAACTTGAAATAACAAACAGCTAACTTATTACCAAATGGCAACCATCTCATACAGATAATAACAGCGTTATAGAAATCACAAAAGACTAGATAGAGAGAGAAAAACACAATTCAGTAAACACAGCTGTTTCCTGCTAGAAATATAGTGGCACAGGTTCCATAGACAATAGGCATGAGTAATATCAGAACTACTCCGATATCTATATTGATAGGTTCCTCTGGACATTCATGGCGGAAAAACGGAGATTATTTATATCAGAGTCCTTTGTACTAGTTGGATATTAATATTAATTACCAGAGGGAGACTTTGTACAAAAGTCGATTGCTTGGGTACATCTGTCCCATTCGTGTTTCAACCGTGAAGCAGTTGTGTTTGCATGGCTGTGTTTCGGTTTGAAGGGTGGGATATGGCGTGAAATTACTGGGTACGGAGGAATAATACCTGAGTCCTCAGGAATGGCAACGCGTGGGGGGTATCATGGACGGAACAGTATACTCTGTTATGTCCATGGTACTGCTCATGTATATAGGCAACGGTTACCACTTTCCATGAGGTGGGCCGTCAGCTTGTTTGCCATTCTAAGTAGTATAAAAAAAATTTCGATCGGGTTCTTCATTCCGATATTACGTACTGAATAATCGACATTTAATAGATCCTTTATTGAGCTAATATATAGATATTGTAAGTGCAACATGCAGATATTGGCATATATTATTCACCCCTAATAGACAAGTGGCAAACGAATCCATCGATGGAATCGTTATTCCAAATGAGTCCATGAGATAGAATAAGATAGCAATGTCTAGTGTTTTGTTCTTTCTTATGGACTCGCTAATGATTACGATACTATTGTTGGATTCGATTGTCACCTGAGGTTCATTAGATTATTTGCTATCATGTGGTAGCTAGTTGGAGATATATACTAAAACATTGAATTGAGTAAACCTTGCCATTATTAGGACACGACGTGACCATTTCATGACTTCATCTTTTTTCGATTTTAATCAACATTTTCAAATTTCTGTCTAATGTTTCTTTAAACTAATTGTTTGATATAATGTAATTATAATAATTATAATGTACGTTAAGGTTTCTTAAGTGACCGCAACGCGCACGCCACAGCTCTAGTGTTGCAGGTTTCGATAGGCTACCATCAGACGGACTGATGCTTGTTTATTATCTTCGTGGTATAAAAAAATGTAAAGCGTAAAGGGTTTACAGTACAGCTACATGTAATTGATTGATCATGTTTCAATTTCAGCGGTCTTGTCATCTTGTAAATTATGTACTGGATTTAACCTTAATGGAATTCAAAAAAATTATCATGATTTAAAAGCACTCGATTCACGAGAGTAAACCCGGAATGTTTAGCATAAAATAATATGGATCTCCGTAAATCCCAAATATCCTTAATAACA